CCTACCCTGAGCGTGACTGAGGGTGGCATCGCAACCTCCCAATCCGCCCTGCTCTGTGCATGACAGGGGGCGGCGCCCCAACTCCCCCAGCAGCCCTGCTCTGAGCCCGACCAGGGGCTGCACCTAGGGATTGGGCCTGCCCTCTGCCACCCAGGAGCAGGCCTAAGCCAGGTCGTTATCTTCTCCCGAGGGGTCCCAGACTGCGAGAGGGCACAGGCCGGGCTGAGGGACCCCCCCCACCCCCCGAGTGGACAAATTTTTGTGCACCAGGCCTCTAGTATATTATAACCAGAAGGTTAATGCCATCGAATAATCTCCATAAATCAACGATACTCTAGATGTATCAAAAAAGCCAAGCTTGGGCTTCATTTAATTAAATTACTTGAGTTTGGCAACTTGGTAAGAGTTAGTTCTGTCCTTTCACCTATATCCTCATGGCTTCTTTTCTCACTTTGAGCTGCCTGGGCCGTCCACTGTGGGATTCTTCACAATGGAGAGAGGGCACATTTGTCAAAACAAATGAGAAGCTGACTTTGTCCCAAAACAGACCAGAATAACAAGTTAAATATTTTTTCCCACTTGGAAAGATGGAGGTTTTCCATGTCTGTTTTCCTACTTAGTCTTAGATTATTCTTTCTTTCTTTCTTCCTTTCTTCCTTCCTTCCTTTCTTTCTTTCTTTCTTTCTTTCTTTCTTTCTTTCTTTCATTCTTTTTTGCTTGTTGGCTTCTTTTTGATTAGTGGCAGGTTATGCCATGTGTCAAAATTTTGATAAACCACAGATGGTTCTGACAAAAAAACAAACAGCTGTAATTTCTAATTACTCTATCCAATAAAGGCCATGTTTACATTTTCATGTTTAAACAATCTCTTGACTACTTTAATCAGCTTCCTCATGCCATCTCAGTTAGCTGGAATATCGGTTATCACCACAGAATAGTTTATAACTACCTGTTAAGCAGTAGCCAAACCCCAGGCAACTGTTTTGAATTTGTCATGAATGTTTGGTCCAGGAAGTGACTGTTGTATGGAGTGGAGACTGAGGGTTAGGGGAGGGAGTGTCGTAAATGTTTCCTTCCACGTCCTGCGTGGTTCAGGGTTCAATATCTGGAAGAGGAGCCGCACACAAATGAAATAGAAAAGACAAGAGAAAATTTGGAAATATTGGGGGACCAGGCGGGTAAATCCAACTCAAGAGGAAAGACTTCCGCCCTTGCTCAGTCCGCACCAACCTTTTATAGTCTGAGGTAAACAATGCAGTGGTTTCCATAGTTACAGTTCTTGTGAGTTTCACCTGTTTTGATCATGTTTACACTCCCTGCACTTCCCTCAGCCCATTAGCTTCCCAGGTAAGATCTGGGGAGTGTTATAAGGTCAAGCCTAATTATGCTAAGAGGACTGAGCCCTCTAAGCTGGGACTTGTTTGTGACTTTGCCAGCAGGTCAGTCCAAGGCTCAACCCTATATCAGTTTCCCACAGGGAGAAATGAGGAGAGAAAAATTTAAAAAAATATATGGCCAAGTTGTGTGTGTGTGTGTGTGTGTGTGTGTGTGTGTGTGTTTTATTCCATTTGCTTGACTCATTTTCATCCATGATTGAAGACAGTATTAGCTATAGGAAATCAGCTTCCCACTTAGTAATTTAAATGAATATGCTCAAGAGTTGGTTTGGAAAGTTTTAAGAGCAAAGTTGTCTAGCATTATAACACTAGAGGCCCGGTGCACAAAAATTTGTGCA